CTGAGCTGCCTGCGGGGCCACCTCGAGGAAACTCAAAGTCTGGTTTTACTCGTAGCTAGTCTCATCCGATGTTGCCCTAAGAACGAGATATGTGCAGCTCCTATCGGGATTTGTCGGCACATCGGGCGGCTTTGCTGGTCTTGTTTTACCATTGTCGAAATGTCTTGTAAACCGGGATTCCGAGACTGATCGGGTCTTCCTGGGAGAAGAAATATCCTTCGTTGACCATGAGAGCTTGTGATGGGCTAAGTTGGGACACCCCTGCAGGGTATAAACTTTCGAAAGCCGTGCCCGCGATTATCTGGCAGATGGGAATTTGTTAATGTCCGGTTGTAGATAACTTGACACCAGATACGAATTAAAATGCATCAACCGCGTGTGTAGCCGTGATGGTCTCTTCTCGGCGGAGTCCGGGAAGTGAACACGGTTTTTGGGTTATGTTTGACGTAAGTAGGTGTTCAGGATCACTTCTTGATCATTGCTAGCTTCACGACCGTTCTGTTGCTTCTCTTCTCGCTCTTATTTGCGTATGTTAGCCATCATATCATGCTTAGTCGCTGCTGCAACCTCACCACTTTACCCCTCCTTTCCCATTAAGCTTTGCTAGTCTTGATACCCATGGTAATGGGATTGCTGAGTCCTCGTGGCTCACAGATTACTACAACAGCAGTTGTAGGTACATGTTTTGCGATGATCATGACGCGAGAGCGATGTTTGCTTGTTTTGGAGTTCTTCTTCTGCTTCTTCTTCGATCAGGGGATAGGTTCCAGGTCGGCAGCCTGGGCTAGCAAGGTGGATGTCGTTTGAGTTTGTGTTTGTGTTTCATCCGTAGCCAGATGTTGCCCTTATGTATAGATGATGTTGTATTCGTGTGGCTTTGTATGCCTTTTGTATGTATCCCCATCTATTATGTAATGTTGATGTAATGATATCCACCTTGCATAAGTGTTTCAATATGCGGTTCTATCCTTGGTGGGACCTTCGAGTCTCTTTAGGATAGTATCGCATATTGGGCGTGACAAGACTTCTCTTGATAGTTGTCTTTTTGTTCACGAATGTAGGAATTTTAATTTCAAAGCTCAAAACCTTGCAACGCCGGTGATAATGGGAGGTCGAGACGCTTCACCGCGGGAGGAGGAAGCGTCTCCACGACCAAGGGCTCGAGACTATGCATGTCGGCGTGGATCCATGCTTCTGGTCGGCGGGAAGGGGGGTTGGGGGCGGCATCTGGCCATTTTGGGCAGTGGGGCGGCTCCGGAGTGGATGCGGTGAGAGCGCGCCGACAGGGCTTGAGCGGCGGCGGAGTGGAGCAGTGGGAGTGGGGGATTTTACTCCAGCAATGCGCGACCGCGTATATTTAAGGGTCACGGCGGCCATGAATTATTATTTTTCCTTCTATAACACTTTTAAAGGTGAAATTTTACTCCTCTAACCGATTATAAGAGATCGGGTAGAGATTCTCTTAGTTAGCTGGCGATCATCTGTGATGGGCCATTGCTTGCAACAAAACTCTATCTTCTACTTCCTCCGTTCTCAAATATTTGTCTTTCCGGAGATTTCAACAAGTGACTACATACGGAGCAAAATAAGAGAATCTACACTCTAAAATATGTCTACATACATCCATATGTTATGTCCATTTGAGATACCTAAAAAGACAAATATTTAAGAACGGAGGGAGTACTTATCTTAATACAAAAGACACGCAATTCTCTTGCATGTTCTTCTCCAAAAATGTCCATGTTCAATCGCCAGGAGTCGTATGCTCTGCTCACAGCGCTTTGTTGCTAGCGGAAAACGTGAAAAAAATAGAATAGTCTTACACGAACATACCAGCGACTCAGAGTCAGAGACTGGATTGGTGCACCAACCCCGCAGCCTTGCTAAATGAGAATCAATCGCTCTCATGTGATTCCCGGTAAACAGTGCATACATATATATAAACTCGATCGGCCGGCAATGGCTGCGCGCGGCCAGTCCAAGTCCAACCTCACTCTTCTCCCGACTCCACGGAGCACGTATCCTATCCTATCCCCACTCCTACTCCTGATCTGCTCCGGGAATGACTCCAGAGATCAAGAATCTCGGCGGCGACAAAGAGAATCTCCACGGCCACAAGGCCGACGACAGCGGTGGAGCAGCAGCAGCACCAGGAGCCGGCCATGGGCATGGGCATGGCAAGGGCGCCAAGAACAAGCTGTCCCTGGTCCCGCTCATCTTCCTCATCTTCTTCGAGGTCGCCGGCGGGCCGTACGGCGCCGAGCCGGCGGTGCAGTCGGCGGGGCCGCTCTACGCGCTGCTCGGCTTCCTCATCTTCCCCTTCATCTGGGCCATCCCGGAGGCCCTGGTCACGGCGGAGCTCTCCACGGCGATGCCGGGGAACGGCGGCTTCGTGGTGTGGGCCGACCGCGCGTTCGGTCCCGTGTCCGGCTCCCTCATGGGCACCTGGAAGTACGTGTCGGGGGCCATCAACGGCGCCGCCTTCCCGGCGCTCTGCGCCGACTACCTGGCCCGCGTCGTGCCCGCCGTGGCCGGCGGCGGCGCCCGGGTGGCCGCCATCGTCACCTTCAACGTCGCGCTCTCCCTGCTCAACTACACGGGGCTCAGCGTCGTCGGGTGGTCCGCCGTGGCGCTGGGGGTCGCCTCGCTGTCGCCGTTCGTGCTCATGACCGGCGTCGCGCTGCCCAAGATCCGGCCGCACAGGTGGGGGGCCACCGCCGGCGACAAGGACTGGAAGCTCTTCTTCAACACCCTCTTCTGGAACCTCAACTACTGGGACAGCGTGAGCACCATGGCCGGCGAGGTGGAGAACCCCGGCAAGACGTTCCCGACGGCGCTGATGGCGTCCGTGGGCATGACGTCCCTCGGGTACCTGCTGCCGCTCATGGCGGCCACCGGCGCCGTCGACGCGCCGCCGGAGCAGTGGGGGAACGGCTTCTTCGCCGACGCCGCAGGTAATTAATTTACTACTCGTTAAATCAACGCAAAAGCGTTACTTTACACCCTTGTTGCATGCAACTTGTCTGTCGATGCTATGGATTAGTATTCTACTGTCACTTGTTTAGTGTTTTTAGATTGCAAAATGATTCCTAACCACGTGTGGAGGAGACCCATTTGGCACAAAGAATCGTAGGATATTGTTGCGTGGTGTGCACACATATACTCCCGGTCCCGGGTCCCCAAAATTTTGAAATGACTTTAAAGATGAACATTAAATTTAAATCCAAGTATTGAAAATGATATTCAAATTGTAAAAATCATGAACATTGAAACTTTAACCTGCCAAAATCCGAATTTTGCCTCACGAGCTCACGGCCGGTAGAACTAGGCAACAGAAGTACTTTCTTTTTTGTGCAAAAATAGTAGTAAATCTTCGGCAATATAGGGCAGAAAATCTCGAAGATTCAGGATTTAGCAGGGTATAGTGAATATGAAAATTTTCATTTGGGTTACTTACCTTAGAATGACACTAGACTGGCTTATATTCCAGCTTCCCATTTGGCGTTGGACTTTCTTTCAATACTAGCACAAGAAAAATGTATAGATGCACAACAATAGGGTAATACTCATAGTGTGTTAGTAATGAAGATCCAAGACAAATTAACTTTTATTTTTCATCTATAAAGAAGGTTTTCGGTTCACACAAGCCAGGAGTGCCATTTGGCCACAAACAATTTGTGACATGACTAATTTCATTGCAATGCAGGCATGATCGCCGGCGACTGGCTCAAGTACTGGATCGAGGTGGGCGCTGTGCTCTCCTCTATTGGCCTCTACTCGGCGACGCTAAGCAGTGCGGCCTTCCAGCTGCTTGGAATGGCGGACCTGGGCCTTCTCCCTCGCGTCTTCGCCCTACGCGCCCCAATCTTCAGTACTCCATGGGTCAGCATCGTGGTCACCAGCCTAATCACCCTCGGCATGTCCTTCTTCAGCTTCAACAACATTGTGACCGCTGTCAATTTCCTCTACAGCCTTGGCATGCTCCTCGAGTTTGCCACATTCATCTGGCTGCGGATCAAGCGGCCCGAGATGTCGCGCCCCTACCGGGTGCCACTGCGACTCCCAGGTATTGTCGTTCTATGTCTCGTCCCCTCGGGGTTTCTTGTCTTTGTCATGGCCATCGCCGGCTGGAAGGCATATGCCATCAGCGCCATCTTCACTGCGGCAGGCCTCGGGGTCTATTACCTCATGAAGTTCTGTAAGGCAAGGGGGTTCCTCAAGTTTGGCACCGTCGATGGTGAGGATTTGATGTATGAGCGTCACCAGGAGAGTGCAAATGTTGGTGTCTGAGGGTTGTGATTCTCTTGATGTCACGTTGATAGGTTTGATTTGGCCAGTGCAATTATGGCATCTTGTAATGTGCATGCCATCTGTGTCTCTTCCTTTCTTTTGTGTGGAGAGTAACGAAACAAGGTTTTTCATGGCCTATGTGATGAGCGACTGAGATTTCATTTTGCTCTCCTTACAATCGGGTAGTTAGAACCGGACGATAGATAATATGGTACGACTTTGGCGTACTGTCAAAAAAAAAAACAGACGATAAATAATCGACCAAGCTCATTTTGTCAACCAACAATGGTGACCAAGCTCACCCCCTTAATACACAGGCCTCAGCGTCGTGGGGTGGTCCGCCGTGGCGCTGTGTGCTTTCTCGCTGTCGCCGTTCGTGCTCATGTCCAGCATCGCGTTGCCTAAGATCCGGCCGCACTGGTTGGGGGGCCACCGCCGGCGAAAAGGACTGGAAGCTCTTCTTCAACACCCGGTTCTGGAACCTCAACTACTGGGACAGCGTGTGCACGATGGCCGACAAGGTGGAGAACCCCGGCAAGACGTTCCCGACGGCGCTGATGGCGTCCGTGGGCATGACGTCCCTCGGGTACCTGCTGCCGCTAGTGGCGGCCACCGGCGCCGTCGACGCGCCGCCGGAGCAGTGGGGGAACGGCTTCTTCGCCGACACCGCGGGTAATTAATTTACTACGTACTCAAACGCGTTGCTGCTTTACAACCTTGATGCTTGCAAGTTGTCGTTAGATTTTTGGATTCTTGTCGATGCACTACGAACGGCTATTGATTAGTATTCTTGTGGCACTTGTTTAGTGTTTTTAGATTGCAAATGATTCGTAGCCACGTGTGGAAGAGACCCTTTTGGCATAAAGAATCGTAGAATATTGTTGCGTAGTGTGCACACGTATACTCCCAGTCCTGGGTCCCCAAAATTTTGAAATAGAAAAAAGTCTAAAATAAATCTTGAACTTGTAGACGAAAGCTAAATCAACCCTAAACTTTGAATCCCGGAAATCAGCACACCCAACTATTTAATCTCGGTCTATTTTAAACCTTGTCGTGTTTCAAGGGGATTGTCCATGTGACGCGACTGGGCCGGCCCACCAGAAACGAAGCACGTTTTTCTTTATTATTATAGCGCGCATCTAAAAATACCTGAAAAAATAGGCTCACGTGGAATCGAACGTGAGACCTGATGGTTTTGATCTCACGTGGAAGCGAATCACGTTTTTCTTTATTATTATAGCGCGCATCTAAAAAAATACCCGAAAAAAATAGGCTCACGTGGAATCGAACGTGAGACCTGATGGTTTTGATCTCAGGCCGCTAGCCAGTCTAACCAGTGGCTCTTGGAGCAGATTTGAATTTTTTTTTATTTGTTTTGAAACATGACCCTGAAAATTGTCAACAATTTTCACATACACATATTCTTAAAAGCAAAAGGTAAAATAAAAGTCGAAACATTTTTTGCAAAAAATTGAACAATTCTTGTAATTACGACAATTTTTTGGCAAACATTTTTTGAATTACGAACACTCTTTGAAAAAGATGAACATTTTTTTAAAAAAATTACAATTTTTGAAGCCTGAACAAAATTTAAAAGTGCGAACACTTTCTAACTTTTTAAAAAACGGGAACATATTGGCCAAAAATTTGCAATTGATTTTTTTTTTGCAAATATGTTCCCACTTTTTGAAAAGTTAGAAAGTGTTTGCACTTTTAAATTTTGTTCAGGTTTAAAAAATTGTTTGGCTTTTTCAATAAGTGTTTCACATAAGAAATCTTTGGAGATATAAAAAAGATGGTTCACGTTTTCAAATTTTAGTTGTGTTTTTCAAAAATGTTCATAATTCCAAAATATCCATAGAATGTTCGGATGTTGCGTTATGTGGTTATTAACAATTCCGCGCTTTTAGCTTAACAACAGGAGCGATCTGTTAGAGTGGTTAGCAAGACTAATTAAGCAACGGCAGGTCACAGGTACGAATCCTAGCTGTCTCTGTTTTTTTCAGCTTATTTTTATTCAGCTGCGTGTCACATGCCTGGTGGGCCGGCCCAGTAGCGTCCAGCGCAACCAACTATCCCGGGTTTAATAAACAATCCTTGTTTGAAAGCGCGCTTAAGGTTTAAAATAGACCGGGATCAGAAAATTTGGTGTGCTAATTTCAGGGATTCGAAGTTCAGGGTTTGATTTAGCTTTCGTCTATAAGTTGAAGGTTTGTTTTAGACTTTTTCCTTTGAAATAATATTCAAGACGAACAATAAATTTAAATCCAAGTATTGAAAATGATATTCAAATTGTAAAAATCATGAACATTGAAACTTTAACCTGGCCCAGTAGCGTCCAGCGCAACCAACTATCCCGGGTTTAATAAACAATCCTTGTTTGAAAGCGCGCTTAAGGTTTAAAATAGACCGGGATCAGAAAATTTGGTGTGCTAATTTCAGGGATTCGAAGTTCAGGGTTTGATTTAGCTTTCGTCTATAAGTTGAAGGTTTGTTTTAGACTTTTTCCTTTGAAATAATATTCAAGACGAACAATAAATTTAAATCCAAGTATTGAAAATGATATTCAAATTGTAAAAATCATGAACATTGAAACTTTAACCTGCAAAAATCCAATTTTTGCGTCACGGGCTCACGGCCGGTAGAACTAGGCAACATAAGTATGAAAATTTTCATTTGGGTTACTTACCTTAGAAGTAGTTATCCTATTTTTTTTTGGTCTCATCTGATCTGGCGAATGAGGGGGGCGACGCGGAGGGCGACGTGCGGCTCGGCCGCCGGGTTCCC